CTCAAAAGACAAGTAGAATGAGGGCGAGTCCCGGCCCACGCTGTTGGGGGACAGTTTAAAGAACCTCCCCTTCAGGGGTCTGGGGAAGGGCCCTGGGCGAGGGAAGCCCACCGCAGGACCCTTCTCAAGTACTACGGAAAGGGCTGGAACTCCCCAAGGATGCGGATAAGTGGGTGTGAGGATGGAGTGGGCTCGGTCATCTTGCCTTGGTAGCTGAGGGCCTTCCATGGAACACTGGCAGCAACCGTCAAGCATCTGAGTGGAGGAAGGTCCTAGGCCTGCAGCCCAGCCAGATGTGGCGGTCACTACCCTAAAGTGGACGGATTTGACCAGCTTAGGCTCCCCACCTACCTGGAGCAGTTTGGCCCTCCTCCAGCCACCCGCGTCCCAATGGCTCTGAACTGGGAGCTTCCCTGCAGCGGAGGGATAAAAACTGAAGTGTATGGGACCCACAGACATTGGTGTTAGGGCCCTACAGATTGCCTGGTCGGCGGTGGGGGCAGGGGGAAAGGGATTCAGTCCCTCACTTTTCCTTGTGCCGCATGAACGAGGTGAGCTCTTAGAAGCTCAGAAGCGTTGAGGAAAACGGGGAACGTCAGCCTGGAAGGTCCGGGGCAGCAGGAAGTGGTGGGAAGAACGGAGGCATTAGGCTTGGCTTTGGCTCGCACACCCCAGTGCTTCCCTTGCAGGCAGCTGTGGCCGGGCTTCTAAAGGTTTTGTGTGGAGAGAGTGTCCTAGTGTCAGTAGGAATTTAGGGGAAGTTCTTTCTTTTAAGGGCCCTTTATTAAGCTCATCCTCGCCCTCCTCCCCATTTCTTGTTGTCCCAGCTCTGATACAAGCTGTTTTGCGGGGTTGCTTTTGGCAGCCCAGAAGAAGACAATCTACCTAGCAGTAAAGTCTGGCCATGACTTTCCTGGCTCTAGAGGTCAGTTGAGTTCGCACACCAGTTGCCGCCAACATCTCCACCATTCGTACAGAACTACAAACCAAGCGGCCTGTTATCGGAACACTTGTGCTTTTAGTAACTCTTGACTCTTTGGATGGGGAGAGAGGGCTGTTCCATCCCCCACTGTGATGTGAGGCCCAGAAAGTTCCTCTCCCTGACTCACTTTTTACAAATCTTGTCCACATTCCTGCGGAGGAGGCGGAAGGTAAGTCTCCGCCTGAGTTGAGCACAGACCTGGTTCTGGGGAACATTAAGGAAAAGATAACGGGCAGAGCTGGTTGTCCCTTTGGGCCTGCAAGCAGAAATGTGTTCTCACCTGAGAGAAGTCTGCCTTCCCACAGGCTCAGGTGAACCCCTTGTCTGGGAAGAAATTCTTGACCCCTAATGCCTGCTTGATAGTGACCTTTTTCTTGCTATGCTTTGCTTGTTTTTTTTTTTACATCATTAAAAAAGATTTTTTAAACGTTTTTATTTTTGAGAGACAGAGAAAGACAGAGCACGAGTAGGGGAAGGGCAGAGAGAGAGGAAGACACAGAATCTGAGGCAGGCTCCAGGCTCTGAGCTGTCAGCACAGAGCTCTATGTGGGGCTCAAACTCGTGAACCATGAGATCATGACCCGAGCCAAAGTTGGACACTCAACCGACTGAGCCACCCAGGTGCCCCTAAATGTGTGGTTCTAATTATAGAGCAGAGGCTGCGTACCCACAGTCAACATGTAAATGAAATAGGCTACGCAGTGAAAAGTAAGGGTTTTTCGTTGCCCTTCTCACTAATTCCCATGAGTCCTAGGTGACCCTTCCAGTATTTTTTATTCATATACAAATACCCCTTAGGATGATTGTATAGAATTTGTTGAATTACTGCTAGGCAGTTATTTCCAGTGTGTATGTGTGCGTGTGCATGTGTGTGTGTGTGTTTGTCTACAATGCTTTAGTGAATATCCCTGCACATCTACCTTTATGCACTTGCATTTGTGCAAGTACACATGTGCCACAGATGGCTGGGAGTGACACTGCTGCACCTTTTCAAGTCCTTTGGTAGAGTCACTGCTGCTGGTTTGGGACGGGTCCATCGGCCGTGACTTGCGCCCTACCCATCTGGGCCTCCCCTCCTGTCCCCACTCTGTAGGTCCCAGTCCTGTTCATTGCCTTGAACATCAGCATTATTTGCTGAGAAGGGTCTTGCCTCCCACCCTGGCTTCTGTCCCTTCCTACCCCACCGTCCGGCTGCCGTGAACTAGAGGTTGAGCTGGTTCATCCCCTTCTACAGGGGAGCTGGGGCCAAGGTCTGAAGCTGTGTCCCTGGAGTTCCAGAGTGACCCCTGGGCTAAGAAGGAGCAAGGCGTGGGGTCATCTTGCGTTTTGGAGGTGGGAGGACTTAAGAGAGCAATGGAAGCTTGATCAAGAGCCGGAAGTCCCCTTGGCTGAATTCGTGGTGGCAGCAGGAACTTTAGGGCACACGAGTGGCGCTCAACCACAACTTCTAAAATGGCTCTGGGTGAAGTTGCAGGAAGCTGCCCGGTGATTAAAATTTAATTTGGGCTGGTGATTTTTTCAGCCTTTAGAGCAGGAATTCGAATAAGCCCCATGTCCATCCATCACGAGTCTGCCCCGCTTCGAGTGCTGGGGTTTGTGACTGTAGGCTCTAGGTTTTACCCATCTTTATAAATGATGTATTATCAAAGCGCACAGATGCTACACTATCGGGTTGTGATGTAGTGGCTACCCGTCACCTTTCTGTGGCTGACCAGCGTGCAAATCTCCTTTCTACTTGGGGGACTCCCCCGCCGTGTGAGAGTTAGGACCCTCTTTACCACTGTGGGAGCCCACTGGGACAGATACGGCATACCTTGTGTGATTGTGCTCTGCCATATTATGCTTTGCGGATGTTGCGCTTTTTACAAATTGGAGATTTGCGGCCACCCTTCGTCGAGCCTGTCTATTGGTGCCATTTTTCCAACAGCGTTTGCTTACTTCATGTCTCTGTGTTGCAGTTTGGCAATTCTTGCCATATTCACACTTTTTCACTATTTTATGTGTTACAGTTATCTGCGATCATTGTTTACAACTCAGTGAGAGCTCACATGATGGTTAGCATTTTTTGGCAATAAAGTAGTTTTAAAGTAAGGTATGTGCTTTGTTTTATTTTTGGATGTAATGCTGTTGCACACTTAATAGACTACAGTATACTGTGAACATAACTTTTATATGCACTGGGAAACAAGAAATCTCATTTGACTGGCTTTACTGTGATACTCATTTTATTGCAGTAGTCTGGAACAGCACCTGTAGTATATCTGGTGTATGCCTGTGGTTGGTGGGAGGTGGGGGCGGTGAGGCCCAGATTGGCCAATCATATGCTCCTTTTGGAACTTCGAATTTTGATCATACAGCACAAAAACCAAGGGACCAATCAACGTTCACCCTGGCGGTGGGGTACCCAAGAGGCAAGCAGCATTCAGCACCGGAGGGGGTGGCAGTAAAGGTGGGGGGTGGTAGAGGGGTGGACCCCACTTGATTTGTGGTACCTGAAATTCTTAAACCCCCCTTCTGCTTCCATTGGTCAGAGTTTGTGTCGTTTGCATCCAAGAACCCTGACTAACGTTCATGGAAACAGACAAAAACCCAGAAAGTCCTCCTTGGTCATTGCCCTTCCAGATCTGGAATGATTGCCATGTCACTGGAAGCCCTCAGACGTTGTTAGCCAGCAGTCTTTGACTTGTCTCGCCAAGGGGAACTGAGGATAGAGGCCTTGGTGACAAGTGTTGGGGGTGGCCAGTTGTGAGTATGGATGGGGTGATTGACAGACACACCTTGCTTCAACAAAACCAGCAAATCACCAGCCCTTCGAATTAATACTTTGTTTCTTCTTCATCCAATACTTTGTTTCTTCTTCATCCAAATCATTTCCACTACTGCCGGAGTAGAGAAAAATTTGGCAGATCTCAACATCATCTTCTCTCGCACATGTTAGGTTCTGGTGCCAATGTTCACGAAGGGGTCTCAACGGTAGGCAGAGAAAAGAAGAGAGCTGACAGCCAATGTTATCTGCTGCACGTGCTGGAATCAACTCAACGCATTAGATTATGATTTCATGGACTCACGCCACTTTGTCACTGGAAAGAAACTCAGTCGTTTGCTGTGTTTACTGAGCGTCTACTGTATGCCAGACACTATTTTAGACACTGAGAATTCGATGATTGATACAAGAGCTTCTGCCTTTGGGGAGTTCTCAGTTGTGTGGGGGAGATGAAGAAGTAAACGTTTGGAGACTGCCCTAATTTCACAGATTAGCCACAGCCTCGGAATTGCAAAGCAATTTGGAGCAGAACTGAAAGCCGAAGTGAGGCCTCCTGACTCCCCGTTTTCTCAAAAGAAATATTTACTAGGTAAACTTGGAGACAGGGTGACAGGGCCAAGCTTTGGAGCATCTTATATATGCACAAAAAATCTCTCTCTCTCTCTCTCTTACACACACACACACACACGCACACACGCACTCACACGCAGGAATGCACACCGCATGCATACAGGCATACTACGGAACAAAGATAGACTCCATTTCAGACCTCCGAGGCTTGAACTTCCGTCCATAAGTGGAGGT